ATATATCTATATATATCTATAATACATATAATACATGCAGGGAATTGCGAGATGGTCTCCCACAGCATCTTACCCTCACTATTGAACAATAACTCGGGATTCTCTAAATCCTCCACTCGTTCCCACTCCCACTGACGTAGTGCAATTGTAATATTGGCAGCAGTAATAATATGATTGCGTTAATCAATAAAACACATACCCACAGGGTCAGTGAGCCTGACGCTGAAAGGAAATTGTACATTGATTCATCAAATATTAATACAGCTGCTCATGAACAGATGACCTTTAATGCAAACTGAAAAACCAGCGCCCTTATTAAGGTGGTTTTGGATGTGAAGACAATGCACAAAAGCACAGTGCCTTACATTTACACACATATTTAGATATTCAAATATCTCTTGCATTGTTGTATTTTGGGTATGCATCACAACATGTTCTTACTGTAATCCGCAATTTATTCCTTCATATAAAAAATTTGTCTTTTTAACAGATTTTCTTGCTTACTACTGTATTATTATTATTTTCTCTTTCGGTTACTCCTGAAGACACCTACAATTGTGAAATGGAATCCTTCACACAATGCTAAACTTCCTTCACAACACTATTTCCATGCTGACAGGAAAGTCTAGAGTGAGCACATAGGCCTGGTTTCCATCCATCCTGTATTGTGAAAGTTCCTCATTATTCCTCCGTATTTTGTGAATTTCCTTCATTACAGTCACAATAATCAGCTCCCACACTTGCAAGAACGTAAGAGTTATAAGTCACGCATCATAGAAAACAGCTTCCGACCAAACATAAAGAAAATTTCCCTTTGTTTCTAAACAAATCTTCCGTTTAGTAAGAAGAAAGATTTTCCTTTATCGCATTTAATGTACTATAGAGGCAACATACTCAATTTGAAGTTGTCAAAACTTAAAAAACGGTTTCGTCATTAATCGTCTATGGGATAAAACTAACATGAAAAAATAAAATGCTCTGTTGTGTTAGTTTTATTTGAGGTTTAAGGGGTCGGTGCCATGTCAAGACAAAGAAAACACAAACATTTATACAACATACACAGCCTGAATATAAAGACCCCTGTGGATGAATTACATTGCTTCGTCATGCACTTGGGTTCCAGCACGAGAAACATATTTATGAAGTAGCTAACTATAAATCCAAGACTCTAAATGTATATTCTATTCATTAGATCATTTTAATAATAAACCAGTAAACGATACACAAGACTCACAATGACGGGAAACTGACCTGTTGACACAGTTCCTCCTTTTTCTCAGAGGAAGAGTGCTGAGAGGGGGACAAGTGAGGTGCTATATTTAACCGGCTCTCTGCTAGCTAACAGATGACATTAGACTGAAGAAACAATGACCATTCTTTTGTCCTCCCACACCATGTGTATGTGAACTTATTTTATCTTTACACTTTATCCCTCGATCAACTGACAATAGCTGATGGAGCCCTTTGTTATAGTGTTAACAGATGAGAGGCATTTTAAGCTAGCATATGGGTTCAGCGCCTGGCTCCCTTGTCTTTTGTGGTTTTAGATAGAAACTAAATTTTGCAATTTGGCATACGAGACCAGCAGACAGCTAGTGTATTCTGTGCCACTGTTTTTGAAAAACGGTCTATATCTTATTGTATCTTATTGCTGATCGGGTGTGCTAACAGTAAGTAAGTACAGTTTCTCTTGGAAAACACCTGCTTTCTATGACAGCTAAACATACCAGGGATGCCTTTGCAAAAGCCTATCTTACTGGTTTTGTCACAGACATGCAGTTGATACACCAATGCCGCTGTCAGTTCCCTAAACCTGTACAGTCCCAGGACATGGCAGGACATCTGTAACTACCTTACTCTGGTCAAGGCTGAACAAAGCAATGGAAACACGGTCAAATGTGCACCAACATGTTTTCTATTCATTGAATACAACAGGTCTAACACGGCTATAACATGGCAGAGTAGATGAACACGAAAGAAAGACAGGCTTCCTTGTTTGAAACACTAACACAGAACAGAGTGAGGAGGGGGATAATAAGGACACAGCGAGCATGGCAAGTACAGACTGAGAAAAGACATGCAGAGATATGATGAGGATCAATGTTACCTGTGCCGACATGTTTAAAAGAAGTCCTCTTCCATGTTGATACAAATATCTTAAAGACGCATACACAAACACATCGGAGGAGTTAAAAAAACAAAAGGAGGAGGAAATGACCAGTTAACTAGAAGATGGGAGGAGGCAACCAAGCACACTGACAAGGAAACAAGAGAGCCACAAGAGAGCGTGTGAATGTGTGCTGGTAGAGGTTACAGAAAGTCTAATGGTAGTTCCTGGTAACAAATCATTTTTCTTTTCCTCTCTATCTTTATTTCACACTCTCTCTTTATCCCGGTGTCACTCACAGAGGCTAATGAGGAGGAGAGTTATTAACTGCTCTGTGTTGTTCTCCATTATAACTTCCCCTCTCTCTGTGCAGCTAGTTTCCCTTTACTTTTCCCCCCAGAGAACATGAATACATTACTTATAAAATAAC